ACATTGAATTAAATATAATTACATCGAATTAAATAAGCCACTACGATTCTTGAATGGAAGTAGAATGCGTGTCGCATCCCACAAAGGGATTGATCTGCGAGACAGAGATCATAATACGCAACTTCGTTGCAATTCACGGGATCTCAGTTTAGTACCACATACTTATCGACCTTGCAGTTCGAGCGGTGAGATGATGCGCGATTTAGCGATTCTTTGATTATCAACTCCAATTTCTGCTTCCCATTATGGAGGGTTTCGAAGACGGGTTCTCCCCTCCGATCACTAATCATCCAATCACTGAATTCGCTACGAACGTTGGGAAATGGTTTCTAACACGATGGGACTTTCTTTCAGGAACTCTGAAAGCCAAACGTCGCTTCCAGTCAGAAAAACCACTCTAATCCGAAGTAAGTTGAAAAGTTCACCTTGGCGACCATCAGGGATATATTCACGATCAATGTCGCATGTGCTAATCGTGACGCTGCTTTAGACGTTGCTCGCGCAGCGTCCATATTAGCTTCATGCCTTGCTCTAAAACAATATATTTCCTAACAGGCTCATTTTCAAGGTGGATCAAAGCAATAGCAAAACTCAAGAAATCCGAACTATATTTTCAGTCTTGATATGTACATATATAAAGTTAAAGAAGCAGCCAAGTTCACAACGGTCATCGAAACCAAATGAGATGGCGTTCATACTCGCGGCAGCGTTTTGAGCGTTCGCCAGCGTTTTGAGGGGCTAGAAAAGTATAGGCATCGATTATCGCTGAAAACGCTGGCCGGCGCTCAAAACGTTGGTGGATGCTCAAAACGATGGATCGATATCTATACAGTGCCAGTCGCTGAAAACGCTGGTAGAGGCTCCAAATGCTGGGTCGAGTCGACATATATACATTCTAGCTCAAAACGCCCGAAAACCATATAGAGCTCGAAACGCTGCCACAAGTATGAGCGCCCACCCCAGGTCGCTGTGGAAGAATCCTAAATGAAAATAACCCACAACACAGAGATATCGGATGCGATAGATGACTTCCGATCATCTCCACGATCTACTAGAGGTTGGTTAGGTGCGACATTGCCGATTTCGACGTCTTGCTCACCATCCTACAGATTGACATATTGAAAACCTATGAAAAATAAGAAGAAATCGCGAAAAAAAACCTGACCGTGTTCTTTAACAAAGGGGCCATCGTATCGGAAGTCGACAGATTGTTATTGCTGACTTTCGAGCCTTTCTGGGACAAGTTTCGATTTAAATCTTCACCATCGTCCTTGTTTGCAGATCGCCCTCTGTACTTGTAGACGATATCAACCGTTGCCGCGTTCGAACTTTTTGAAACACCTAAAAGCTCAGTCGATATGACAACGGAAAAGCGCTCGTCAGAGGATGTGAGAAGGATAAACCAAGATAACTACAAACCTGGATCTGTTCACTGTCGTTCTTGAAATTTTCCAAAAGCTCATTCTGCTTCTTGTAGTACTGAGAAACCTCTTTCTTCGGCTTCCGCAACTAAAACACACACCGTCTCATAGCGTAAACCAAAGTTGTAGCCATGTGGCTCGGAGGGGTCACGCTCCAGCGAGGTCAAAGGCGCGCTCGGCGTTTAATAATGGTGGATTGTGTGGCTCGAATACGAATGGTAAGAAGATAATTAAAACAAAGTCAAAAAGAAGTAGTGAAAACAGCCGGCTCGCTCTTACTATTCGAAACAGAGAGAGCTAGTAGCGGAACAATCGCACAAAGCTTTATGGAATGAAAGTTGGGCGCTGCGGTAGCATGGCGGGGCGATGGTTTCGGCGCGGGCGGGTTGCGTTTCCCTCACATATTTTTTTAACTGCGAAAAGGTTACATCAAGGGTCCTATACCTCAAAGGAGCGCAACGTGCCATCGACGCCATGTCTGCTTGTCTGCATCCTCTCACCAAGACTACTTCATACGCTCCAACATGACTCAGTCAGCCTAGAACACAAGAT